GACAGGGAGAAAAGCCTGAGTGGCTGACAGGAAGAAATGCCTCAGTGGCTGAGTGGCTGGTGTGGAGTAGTCGTGGTAGTAGAGCTAGTATTGGTAGTAGCTGATCCTTACTTGTAGAATTGGACAGCTGTTCTATTGGAGTCAAAGCCGACGCAAAAACTGAAGTCTGTCTCCTTGTCTAAAGCACCCTCTTTCTCTAACAGTTATTATATAGTATATACACAAATGTGAAATATCCGCATTTTCGACCCAATGCGTGCAAAAAGCCGGAGGTAAATTTTACCCCCCAGATTTGCCATAACAATTAGCCAGCTATTTCATCAAGACACTCTATTCCTTATACCTTTTTGGAAGCCTTATCCTGCACTACGGACGCTAGTGCATTTACAATCCTTGTGATGCCAGAAATGTGTTGACCCTTATTTCCGACCCAATGCGTACAAAAGCTGGGGGTGAATTTACCCACCAGATTCGCTACGACATTAAACCAGCTATTTCATCAAGACACTTATAATACCTTTTTCGAAGTCTTATCCTGCACTACGGAGGGCCTGGTGCATGTACATTCCTTGTGATGCCAGAAATGCTTACCTCTATGTCCGACCCAATGCATACAAAAGCGGAGGGTAAATTTAACCACCAGATTTGCAAAACAATAAGCCAGCTATTTCGTCAAGACACTCTATTCCTTATATGTTCGTGCCTAAGTATGCGAGCGTCTGCTAAAATACCGAGGTGGATGTTAGGATGTAGGGACGTTCCAGGCACTGCACATGCGACTCCCCCGTGAGGGCTCCGTAGCTCTATGTTTGCGCTTGTGCTTTGCAGCCAAAGCCTTGCCGAGCCTCATTGCCCGAAAGAGCTGCTGACAACTGTTACTTGACACCCCAATGAACAATAGGCCCCGTGCTCCAAGGAGCAATCAGCCCAGTGCTGTTTATGAAGCATGCAGGTCACCATCATTAGTGTGCTGCAGCTCACTTGCCGACTGATTTCGCGCCCACTGCGAATGGTGGTGGAACAGCAGCAGGATCCGTTTCAGAAACGACACAGTCATTTTTGTTTTCAACAATATACATTATACCCTGCAGCTGAGTGCCATGGAAATCCAGCTCGAACCCTGGCTTTCCGTATGGGTACACGAGATCAATAAGTGCTGCACGGAAACAAACACCTCCGGTGCGCTTCGGCTAGCTTTCGACCTCCTCCTCCTACAGTGGCTCTACTGCCACTGCTACTATTACTACCACTACGACTACCACGTCCACTGCTCCGACCACACCGACTGCTAATTATAGAACTATACTGCTGCGACTGCTTGAGTGGCCGCTCAGGATCTTGAGTGGCTGAGTGGCCGCCGGGAACCGCGACCCGGATTGCACATACTCTCATTTAAGGCTGCCGGCTGCCGCGCCATTTTGTTACATGCATCTCTTTTCTGTCTCTCCCTGCACCGATGCCAGGTACAGCCATCTTCATCGCAGAGCGCTGCCGCACGTGGAAATCCTGGCTTTCGCTTCCCCCTCAGGTAATGCATGCAGATGCTGAGTATGCCGCTGATCCTCCAATGGCGCTGGTGGCCCCTGATTGTCTAAGTCGCCTCGATGAATGGGTCCACCGGACAGTGGAATTCGTTCATGTGTTGCATCGACCAGGGGCATCTGTTGATACAAAAATTTTTGGCGAAGTGGTCATTCGATACATTTACTTGTTTAGTGAGCGTTTTTTGGGACTTGTAGCGCAAATCCCCTATCTCGAGCACTTTCTCAAACTTCGAGCGTTTTCAACATCTGAGAGGATGTTTGGGACTGATAGAGCCATTTTGGCTCTCTTTCCTGAGTCCCTGGGCCCATCTGTGCCCTGTGCTGCGTTCCAGTGCGCCCATCAGCATGTATGCATTGTGCACGCTACAGGCATAGACTTTGGAGGCATACCTGCAGTGGCAGGTATGTTCAGATGAGATCCTACCATATCCTGCTTCAGCTGGACTACTTCAGGTGCCAATCTTTGTCGTTCATGACGGACATAGTCTTAGCATGTTCCAATTCCTCCCGCTGGCAGCAATTTTGCAGGTGGAGGTAGAGCTAGGCTAGTTAGAGAGTCCCTTTGCAATGTCGCTATCGAGTCTATCATCACCTTTGGCTGAAGCCTGGTCCAAAAGTGATACCTTGACCAGCCGGGCTTCAAAGGGTAAGTTGACGATTATCCCCAACAAGAGCATCACCCGTGAAGACTTGATTACCAACGAAGAGTTGATGGCCCCTGTTTTTAAGCACTTGGGTTTGAGAACTACGATCGACAGCATCTCTGAGCACGTGGAGATCTTCATGTATTGGGCTGGTCCCAGGGGCAAAAACCAAGTCAGTCGACCCTCAACTGCACACCAATATTTTAATACAATAAAGTATACCATATGTCATTGTTTAACCTTTGATGCTTTGATGGTACCTTGAGAATCAGGATCCTGTCAAGCCACCTAGGCTCCACTGTGCGCACAGAAGCTTGGAAGATCAAGCGGATGGTTTCAATCTTCAGCCGTCATGCGAAGCGCGGGCACTTCCCCAGGGATCTTGCGATCCGCCGTATCTACAGTTCAGCGGACATCCCTTTGCCATCTGACTGTTCCCAAACTGCGTTTTTCCAGATTGAATCAAACCAGGGAATATAGGTTTGCTACAAGAACGCCCGCCTGCCCAGGTTCCCGCGGTTCCCGCGACCCTTCACCTTCTTGCTCTGATGATCACGATGAAGCTTCAGAGAGTTCGTTGGCGACTACTGCTGCTTGGCCTATCTTGGCCCCAGATTGTATAGCTAGCTCAATGGCTCAATATCCCATGGATCTAATCTACTCAGGATGAGGAAGTGGATGTGGATGAGGAATCGGAACCTGCAAAAGATGGTGATGAGTCAGGTAGGGGCCCTGCAATGTTGCCATGGGATACGAGTGCAAATATAGCAAATTTCAGCTAAAGGCCTTAGGATAATATGTCCT